GAGCGTTCAGCCGACATTTGCAGTCCCAGCGCTGAGGGGGCCAAGTGGCCAGTGGTCCAGGAGCGAGAAGCGTGGGACCCGCGCCCATGTCCCCTAAAGCCCTCGTGCTGGGAGCCTTTGGTTTGAACGAGCCCGTCCCTCCCCTTCCGTTTGACCAAGACCACCCAGTAGCCAGTGCTTGTTTTTATTATCCCGGCGTAGCAGGCGTCACTGGTTGGAGGGGCAAGGGCCCGGTGACATAACGGCTTGCTCCCAAGTAGCCTGTCTGAAGACGATCAGGAATAGCCAAGACTGCTAGACATTCCCAGACCTCGCCGGCGCTGAACGCTGCGTCACCAGGGTGTGGGGAGGGGTGTGAAGGCGGGCCCGCTGACGGCCGTCCCGCCGAACAGTGCAAAAACGCGGCGGAGTAGCTGCCTTCTTCCTCTCAGCAGTTGCCTCCCCCTCCCCCTCCAGCCAGCAGTTGCCTCCCCTTCACCCTCCCACAGAGGCCTTCAGAGAAGAAACAGGGACCACCGCCCAGGGGTCGCCCACGCCCGAGGTGGTTCTCTCGAGGAACATAAAACTGCACCAGCGTACGCTGACGGAGGTCCGCGCGGATTCCTTGGATCGGCGCTGGACGCCCCTCCCTGGCGCGCAGAGCGCGCCAGCGGCGGCGCCTGAGGCGCCGCCAGGGGGCTCCAGCGCCGATCCCAGATATCCGCGCAGAGCTCAAAAAGCCTTTGTCTATGCCGTTGTCTGTTCCTCTACTCTCGGTGGCAATGGTCCCTGGTTCTCCCCTGGGACTTTCCACCGGTCTTCCCTCTCCTTCTGTGGCCGTCCTACGCTTGCACAATCGCTCTAGTGCGCCCAGTGCCATGGGATCTGCAGTCGAGCTCGCGGTCGCTGGTGCTCGAACAAGAAAGTTTCTCCGAGACTTTCCACTGGTTGCCTCCTTCCCTTAGCTGCCCTGATACGCCCGCGCTCAAACGCAACACGCACCGTGTTCATAACGTCCGTGTTCACGCGCTGCGTGTTGGTTGGGCACGTGCTTGTCCACGTTGCAGTCTACGTGTCGAGCTCCGTGTCAGCACGCCACGTCTTGCGTGTTGCGTATCGGGGCAGTCGAGCTCTCTCATCCCTCTCCCTCCTGGCCAGGTACCTCCTCTCCTTGCCGCCCAGCCGCCAGTTTTTTGCCGTGGGCGAGCCGCGCGCGCCGATCTCTCCCCGGGGCGGGCGTCGCAACCTCTCGTGCTCCGCCTGCTCCTCTTTCTTGCTTGCTGCCGGTCCTTCCCCTCTCCTCTCTCTCCCGCCGCTCCTCCTCTCGCCTCGCCTCGCCCTCTCCGATCCCCCCTCTTCGGCTCCTCGGTTTCTGCGAGGGCTCCACTTCGGGGTGGTCGACATCACGGAGTTTGAAGCGCAGCCCGATGTTTCTACATCCGTGGCCCGTCGGTGGGGCGGCTATGTGGTCGCCGTCGCAGCCCCGTCGCCGCTTCGCCGCCGCCCGTCGCTCTGGGCCTGCCCGTCGGTGTGGCGGCTGTGTGGTCGCCGTGGCCGCCCCGTCGCTCCGCGCCTGCCCATCGGTCTGGCGGCTATGTGGTCGCCCCGTCGCCGTTTGGCCCTGCGCTACGTTGCGTGACTTTGCATTGCGCTGACTTGCATCACATGGGTCTGCGTTGCGTTAGTTGCGCTGTGCCGCATTGCTTTGGATTGCGTTGGTTTGCGCTGTGTTGCAGTGTGTCGCATTGAATGTACTTGTCTTGCATTGCTTTGCATTGGCTTGAACTGATGTGCGCTGCTTTGCATCACCTTGCGTTGCTTTGAATTGTGTTGCATTGCTTTGCGCCACATGGATTGCACCACCTAGATTACACCACCCTGATTCTCCTTTGTAAAAGACTAATAGATTCTACCACCCCCCCCCGGACTGATCGGTTACCCCGCGCGTGCTGTAAATCAGATATGATTCTGACCACATGTCCATCCTAAATATGAAGTCATACCATCCCAGCCAGGCCGGGTCCCCCCCCCCTGCGGTTCCCTGTCAAATAACATTATGCGGGGACATTTTACTTTCTAACATAACACTTTTTCACGAATCCCTTGCAAAAAATGGGACGAAGTGCACACGCGCGCGTCGTCGCGCGCGCATGCCGAAATCCTTCAAAAACCTTCGGTGCCGGAAGGATTTCGCAATCGAGTTTCCGAAAAACATACAAAAACACATGGTTTCGCAACACTGGTTTGCTAAAAAAACTTCCGCGCGAGCTCTTGCGGAATCTTAAGAAAACCATGGTTTTTTTTTCAAGATTTTCACAACATGCTACCAAACGGGCTTCGCGCGCGCGCATGTCGAAATCTGTCGAACGCCCTTGCGCGTGTGCCGTCGCGAGAATCCTCTGCAAAAAAAGGGACGAAGTGCAGACGCGCGCGTCGTCGCAGACGTATGCCGAAAACCTTCGAAACCCATCGGTTTCGGAAGAATTTCAAAATCGTGCGTCCAAAAAACCTACAAGAACCCAAGGTTTCGCAACACGGATTTTCAACAAAAGCGTGCGCGCGCGCTCTTGCGTCGTCGTCGTCGTCGTCGTCGCCGTCCTCCCTCCTCCCGCGTCGTCGTCGTCGTCGCCTACGTCGTCCTCTGTCTTTTCTCCTGTTTGTCGTCGTCGTCCTCTTTGGCGTCGTGGTCGTTTCCATCGTCGTTGTCGCCGTGGTCGTCCTTCCTCCTCCTCCCACGTCGTCGTCGTCGTCCGTCGTCGGCGTCTCATCGTCGTCCCTCCTATGTCGTCGCCGTCGTCGTCGTCGTTGTCGTCGTCGTCTTCCCTCCTCCCTCGTCGTTGTCGTCGTCGGCGTCGCCGTCCTTCCTCCTTCGTCGTCGTTCGCGTCGTCACCGTCCTCCCTCCTCCTTCGTCGTTGTCGTCGTTGTCGCCGTCGTCGTCCTTCCTCCTTCCTCGTCGTCGCCTTCGTTGGCGTCGTCGTCGTCGTCTTCGTCGTCGTCGGCGTCGGCGTCGTTGTCGTCGTCGAAGTCGTCGGAGACGTCGTCGGTGTCGTCCTAGTCGTTGTCGTCGGTGTCGTCGTAGTCGGTCCTAACAGGTTTTGCAAACCAAGTTGCGGGTGGGTGGGTGGGATGTTTGCGCGAGCAGTGGAGAAGACAACTTCAAGTTCAGCAAATTAATTTCACCACCTAGACTGCACCGCAGGAACTGCAAGAACTCATTGTTTCTGGTCCACTCGGGCTAACATATTTTGGCCCACGCACCCCTCCACTTGTTGTTCCTCCCCTGTTCCTCCTTCCTCACCCCTCTCCTTTAAAGGACACTTGTCCGCTTGCACCACCAGGCGTTTCGTTACGGTGGGGCGGGCGTTTCGCTTGAGCCCTCCTCACAATATGCCATTGACACTGTCAACAGCTGAACTACCGGAACACAATCGGCATTCAAAATAGGATAATCGTTGCGTGCCGCGCACATTCGTTTGAAAAAACCAGCAGATACCCGGATAGAACGCGGCTCATGTTCAAAGGGGGGTTATCGCAGTGGCGCCGCGCACGTGCACGCGCACATCGCAATATGATTCAGCAGTTGCAAGGATTGGGGGCGGTTCCTTTTCAAAGTAGGGATGGCACAGTGTTCGAATTTGCGCAACCATTACACGGTCGAGGGCGGTTCTCTTTCTCAAGAAGTGGCTCCCGCTGGAGACCTCCGATGTTTGTGTGATTGAGCCTGTGGAGCGTATACGCGCAATGAGGGCAGACGCAATTCAAAACGGAGTTGCCGTTGGCTTGGCATCATTCGGACTTGGGCATTTCTTTTGGGCGAGGACCATCGAAGAGCATTGTGGGCCACCTCACGAAAAAATACACGACCGAAATCGAAAAATGCACAGGGAATGGACGTCCGAGCGATGGCGAGAGGGGGGACTTGAGACGGGAGTGCTTCGTGCAGCGCCGTTGCCACATATCGGGCTGTATCCAGGCCGCCTAGCCTCGCCTCCCCCATCACTTCTTCTCCCTCCTCCTCCCTCCTCCTTCTCCGCGTTCTCCCTCTCCTCGCCACCCTCGTCCCCGTCCCTCCCTCCTCTCCCTCATCAGCCCCTCCTCCCCTACCGGTTACACCTCCTCCTCCCCCCACTGCGCACTTCACCCAACAAGTACACAATGTGTATACTGCTCCCCTCTGTCTCCGACGATGCCGCGAAAGGAGATCGCCCTCTTCGTGTTTTGTTTGTTTCACTGGGTTTCAAAGTTTGGTCCGTTCAGAGCCCCGAATCATCAGGGGTAACTCGGGTCAGGGCTAACTCGGGTTCGTGTCTCAGGATTCCGAACCCGACTTGCCCCGGACCCGACTTACCCTGGATAGTTCGGGCGCCCAATCTGTCACAGGGGCAGTCCGAGCGGATAGGTTTCGATGTCGCAGGTCGTGCTCCCGCTGCGGCGTGGGGCCCTCGCTTGGAAGGGGTCGGCGCTGGGCTCCCAGTCGCTCCGAGGGGCGACCCCGCCTCCAGACATGCGAAGCCGATCCGCGGGAGGGGGCCCAGTCTTCTGGGGGGGCCACGCTGCGAAAAAAAATGCTTAAAACAAACAAAAACACACACAAAAAAAGGGCGCTGGAGTGCAGGGCTCCTCCCCTTCCTCCATCTTTCCCCGCTGTGTTGTGCTTCCCCCTCCCCCCCTTTTTTCCCGTCGCGCGGCTCGTGGTGGCTCTTCGTGGGCCAACAGAGGCGGAGCCATTTGGCAAGAATGTATGAGGGTAAATTCCAACATGCAGTTATCCTTAACCAGAACCGAGCCGAATGCTCTTGCTGGTGTGTTTCGGTCACGGTGCCTCGTTGCCCGATCGGTCCTATCCGATCCTATCTTGTCCCCTTCCCTCCCTGGCCTCCTCCCTCCCTCCCCACATCCCAAATCCCTGCTCGCGGGCCTCCAGGGGCATATCGTCGCCACGGCTGCATCCGCCTCGAAAGTCACGACAAATCTTGGAGGCGTTTTTTTTTTTTTTCCGTGGGGGGCGACGACGACGACGATGACGACCACCACCACAGCGACGGCGTTCTTCAACGTGGACCCTGAAGTCTACGAGCTTGGCGAAGAGGACCGCAAGCAAATGGCGGCTCGTGCAGAGGACCTCAGCAAGCGGCTTGTCGAGACCACCCAGAACCTCTTCGGGGCGGCGGCCAAGCAGCTCGAGGAGGCCAGGCAGCTGCACAAGTCGCACGTCTCGGGCCTGGCGAAGCGTCGCAAGGCCGAGGGAGCGGCGATGCCTGGTGGTGGTCATGTGGATGACGAAGCTCGTGCGGCGGGACCTTCTCCTGCCGTTCAACCTGAAGATCACTCCGGAGCTTCGGCCAGTGCTGGCGTTTCTGATTCTGACTCGGCCGCCCGCTCCTCTGCTTTGCTTGCCCGCGCCGAGACGGTGCTGGGAGCCGACTTTCAACCACCTGAGCAATCTTTGCCCCCCATTTCGACTGCCTAGGTCGAAGTGGGGGGGAGATTTGAAGTCACCTGAGGCGCCAAGTTTTTTGATACCTCCTGGTCCCTCGGATCCGTCGTTGGGGTGCGGCCCTGGTTTGGGCGCCCGTGGGCCTATGTCAGGACCCAGTTTTGGCCCGTCGTCTGGCCCCCCTGTCCCCGAGTCCGACCAGCTTGCCCTCAGATTCCAGACGTGTAATGCCACCTCCTGGGGGCCATGTAAAGAATGGCTCGCCCGCACATCGGCCCATGTCGTGGCCGTTCAAGAACACCACCTCTGTAGTGATGAGTCGTGTCGCTCGGCTTTAGATTGGTGCCTCAGACACGGCTGGAAAGGCCTCTTCTCGCCAGCCCGTCCTGGAGTCGGCGAAGGAAGCTCAGGTGGTGTCGCCTTAGTCTGCCGATCCTTCCTAGGCCTTCACGACCTCCCTCAGGGGCCGGAATTGGTCCCAAGTAGGGCCATTGCGGGTCTGGTTCATCTCCCTGGAGGGCTTGACCAGCCCATCCTGTTCGCCTCGGTGTACATGCATCACTCCGAGGGGCTGACGGACCGAAATCTTGACATCTTGGGGAAGGTTGGGTCGGCAGCAGAGGTGTATGCTAGTGAATGTTTGGTCGCGGCTGATTTCAACATGTCGCCCGACCTCGTCCAGGACAGCGGGTTCACTGAACGACTCCATGGGAACCTGATCATCCCCCAGGGCGAGGGGACCTGCTTCACCACGGGGGGCATCAAAATGCTCGACTATTTCGTTGCGACGAGTGGGGTCTCGAAGGTTATTCAGTCGGTCGACGTGGTTACCACCTCGCAGCTCGCTCCTCACTCACCTGTCGAAATCGTTCTGTACCCTCGTGCTTGTAAGATGCAGGCTTTGGGATTTTACAAACCTCCTCCCATCCCTGCCCAGCGGCCTATCGGGCCCTCTAAACGGCCTCCCCACTGGGGGCGGCTCCAGGGGCAGGCGAGTGCCCTTCTCGATTCTTTGGTCCCAGGGGAACCCGTCGGTCAGGCTACCCAAGAGTTGAGTAGGGTTTACGGGCGCTGGGCTCGTCTGGCGGAGTGTGAAATCGCTGATGCTGCACATGTCACCCTCCCGTACTACGGGGCCAGGAGTAAGGGCCCCAAGTTAGTCTGGCAGCCTGTCTTCAAGAGCGGCTCTTCCAAGGGCCGCCACCCGCGTCTGTTCGCCATCAAGTGGTTGTCTCACACCTTTAGGCACTGGCACGTACTCCCTCGCAGTTCGCAGGCGTGTGGCCAGAAGAGCCAGATGCTGCTGGTGATTCCCTCTGAGTTCGCGAGCGATCTGGATAGGTATCAGGCGCTCGTCAAGTCCATTCACTCGTTCGTGTCGATCGTCGCGGCTCCAGGTGGTCGGCTCTGCGTGGAGGATGAAGCTCATCAGGGGCACCTGTCGCACATCCTTGGCGAGCTGGATGCCGCCATAGTCCACGAGCAGTCGGATGCTAGGACTCAGGGAGGGAAAAGTTGGAAGGAATGGCTGTTGACCAACATTGAAAAGGGAGGAAGGAACGCTCACCTCGCTCGCAAGCCTGCTGCGGGCTGGAAGCCTACCACGACCCTCAGCTCGGCTGGGGTTGTGCTCTCTGACCCTCTTTCTCTGCTGGAGTCTCAGTCTTCGCTCTATGCTGAATTATGGGGTGCCAAGTCGACGGGCCCCCCCGCGCTCGATGAAGGTTCGAAAGGTATTTGTAGCCCCCTCCCTTTCTTGCAACCCGAGTTTCTCAGGATGATCTCCTCCAGGTACTCCCCCAGGACTGCTTTTGGGCTCGACGGCTTCCACATGAAACACTACTCCTGGATGACCGACGATTGCTTGTACGTCGTGGGCCTAATGCTGGCCATCATGGAAATGACCTCCTCACTCCCCTTCCAGATCCAGCTGGTTCAGCTGGCGCTCATCATGAAGCCGCACGGCGGCTGGAGGCCGATTGGCCTGTTCTGCGGCATGTACAGATTGTGGGGGAAAGCGAGAAGGGTGATAGCACAGCAGTGGGAATTGGAGCATCCTCGAGCTTATTTCGCTGGCCAGTCTTTTGCTTCGGCCAGTGGCGTCGTGCGGCGTCAAGGAGTCAGGGCTGAATGCTCCTATCGTCGTGGTTTGGTGGCGGCCACGATTCTTTGGGACTTGTCCAAGTTTTACGAAACCATCGACCTCGGGCTTTTGGAACAGCGTTGCGTGCAACACGGGGCCCCTGTGGCCTTATATCGTCTCTCGATCGCGGCCTACCGAGGGGCCCGGTTTATTTGCATGGCTGGGTACGTCTCGGGCCCGCTGATGGCGGCTCGAGGGGTTATCGCGGGTTGTTCGTTAGCCACGACATGGGTCAAGGTCTACATGATCACCCCTCTTGACTCCTTGAAGCTCGGGCCTAGCGTCCAGCTGGACCAGTGCATCGATGATAGCGGGCTGTCTGCGGTGGGCTCCAAGGCCCAGGTCGTGCATGATTTCAAGGAAGCCTCGCAGGGCCTGCACGACGCTCTTACCTTGGACATGAAATGCAAGGTGGCGCCTGATAAGGCCTCTTTTGTCTACTCATCTGCTGAGGTCTCTTCGCAGCTTCGTCAGTTCCTGGGGCCCCTCGCTGGGCCGATCACGGACAGTGCCGTGAACCTGGGGATCGACGATGCTGCAGGGAGACCCAGACGAGCCGCCAGGAGAGGCCACAAGTTTAGGGTCCGCGTGGACACCCTGAAAGCTTCTACACAGAAGCTCGTCAAGCTGAGTTGCAGCCTCGGTAAGTATTGTAAACGTATTTGGGTCTCTGGGACTTTGCCTGGGGTTCTCTACGGGGCGGAGATCCATGGGCTTTCGGACTTCGAGTTGGCGAAGATCCGTCGTGAAGCGGGGCGCGTTCTGAGACCTGGTGCGGGGGGGCGTTCGCTGACCGCCACCCTCCTTCTGAACGATGACCCGACTTGGGTGGGGGCTGTGGCCCCCGTGGTTAGGTACGCCAAAGAAATATGGGCGCTCCAGACGGGTGCCTATCCCCACACGATCCCTTGGGACCAGTTGAGACTCAGCTGGGAGACCGTGTTCGCGGCGGCGGCACCTAGGTGGCGCGACGTCGGGGGACCCATTAGCGCCATGCGTCTTTCCCTTATTCGCATCAAGTGGTCTATGTCAGATTTCGTCACGATCGTGAACGATTTCGGGGAGACGATATTGCTGACGAGCGTGTCCCCAGCTATGCTGAAGAAAATGTTGCAGCAGGCCTGTCGGCGTGCCCTGGAGCGTGAGGCTTCGGCTAAGCAGGGCCTGTCTTGCGATCGATTGTGTTTCGACATCGTCCGATCTCGCCTCCGATCGTCGCGGGTCACCTCCCAGGAACGTGGATCGATCAGGAGCTTGACTTGCGAAGCGCTCTGGACTCGCGATCGGGCGATCAAGGTCGGGTACCGCGGTCTCGAGGATCGATGCGAGCTCTGCGGTTTCACTGGCGATTCGACCTTCCATCGACTCTGGCGCTGCCCTGCCGTCGCCTCCACGAGAGAGGAGACCGTTTCACAGAGTTTGATTGATGAAGCCGCTGACGCGGAACTGGCCGACCCCGAAGTTGCTCTGCTTTTCACCAGGGGTGTCTTTCCGCATCCTGGAGACGTCTTCCCTCGGCCGTCTCGGGAGTTTTTGGATTGTGAATTTCAGGCCAGATGTGAATGGGTTGAGCCTCCCCAGGACGGTGGCACCTTTGATGGCGATATCTTCCTTGACGGTAGCTGCTTCCGTCATGAGATTGCCGAGCTCTCGCGCGCTGGATATGGGCTCGTTAAGGTCGGCTCTTCGGGTGACAGGGTGTGCCACATCTATGGGCCTATCCACGCCCCTTTCCTCCAGACCTCCCAGTGTGCCGAATTCGCTGCCCTGGCCCGCGGCGGAGTGGAGGTCATGAGTGACGCGAGCCAAGGGCCCGTCGCCGAGATCGGCGAGGACCGACATCCTGGGCAGGAGCAGCCTCGCCTGTCAACTTTTTATAGCGACTGCTTGAACGTGGTCTCTGCTTGTGCTGGGGACAAGAGTTCGCAGCTGAGCTATCGCCGCCCGTTCGCGGGGCTGATGATGATGTATCGTCTTGGGGTGTCGTCGGTCCAGTCGGTCGTCAAAGTCGATGCCCACAAAGACCCGCACGAAGCGGGCATATCCTCCCTGGAGCGCTGGAGGCGCCTCGGGAATGACCTGGCGGATCGTGCCGCCAAGCAGGGTGCTGGACTCCACCCCCGTCCGTCGGAGGCCGAGGAGAGCCGGCTGCAATGGCAAATTAAGATAGCCAAGGCGGTCTGCAAGCTCGCAGCGAAGCTGCTGCCAGCGTGGCCGCCGTTGGATTTGACCGACTGCTACTGGGAGCGCCCTCCCGTCGAACCTGCTCCCCCCACGCGGCCCCATGCTTGGACGTGGGAGAAGCGCGAGGGGTATTTCGGATTTGCTTTCTGGCGTTGCCAGCACTGTTTGATCGTGCGCAAAGGACGCTCGATACCGCCGCCAGGTTCTTGCTCGAATGAATCGAAGCTGGACGGCCCATCCCTGAGAGCGCTCGGGCACCATGCCATATCGCTGCTCGTTTCTGATGGCTCCTTCCTGACTGTCTGTCTTAGGTGTCATTCCTACGGCTCGCTGGGTTATATTCGGGGCTTAGCTCAGCGATGTCAGCCACCGACGCGTAAGAAGACCGAGACTTCCAATGCTATTTGTAAGGGTCGGCATCCGTCGAAATCCGAGCTTCGTGTGGAGCCCGCGCCGTGGCGTTAGTTTTTCCCGCTGTTTCCACGGCACTGCGGGACTGGCAGCCGTCTCGGCGTGAGTCCCCCCGCAGTTGCCGTGACGTCAGCGGTGGGGCAGGGCTGGTGGCGAAAGTGGCAGGAGGCGCCACCCAGCCCTGCCCCCTCCTCTGGGGGGAGGCGCCGTCCCCCCAGAGAGTGTGGCTTGGCAGTAGTGGATGTCAAAAAAATCCCCTCCTCCTTACCCTCCTCCTCCTCCTCCTCCTCCTCCTCCTCCTCCTCCTCCTCCTCCTTCTCCTTGCAGCTCAGGCCGCTTGGCGAAGGTACCGCCCTTGGGCTGCACCCGCAGTGTGCCTCCTCCCCGTGGTCGGCCTCTTTCCGGCGGGCCGTCGCCGCCCGGACGCCCACGATCGCGACGACGACGGCCTCCACCCGGGGCCCTCCTGGGGTGCGTGATGGCTAGGATTCCGAGGCGGAGCCAGCCGTGTCCACGCAGATGCCTCCAGGGGCCTCACAGAGGCCCCACAGAGGCCTCCAAAACCTCAGATTCCGATCCTCAAATCTCGAGCCTCTGCCCTCGATCCTCGGCGACGGCGGCGGCAACGGCGACGCTGCTCGCGTCGGCAGCTCCTCGATCGATCCACGACACCGACGGGGACGTCGACGGCGAGCAGAGCCGCCTCGGGTCCCGAGGCGCGGGTGGGACTCCCCTCATGACGCCCTTCATCACCACGCCGCTGCCCGGCGACCGTGCCCGTCGTCGTCGTCGCCTCGCTGCCGCCGCCGTCGTCGTCTTTGATCGATCCTGGATCCATCGAGGACCGACGTCTGTCCTCGATCCTCCATCCTCGATCGAGGACCATCGATCCTCGATCCTCGATCCATCGAGGAGCCGCCGCCGCGGTCAACGCCGTCGTCGCCCAGGTGTCGAGGATCAAAGAGCGAAGGTCGTGAAAATCGCGAGGCGAAGTCTGAGATTGAGATTGCGAAGGCCTTGCGGCCGGTGCCGCCGACCCTGAAGGGGCGACGTCTGGGATGCTTCGTGGGGTCTCTTCGGAAGGCTCTCGGGGGCCTCTGGGGAGGAATTCTGGGGCCTCTTGGGAGCCTCTTGGAGCTTATTCGGGCTTCCTGGAGACCTCTTGTGGGCCTCTCGGCGCCTCTTGGAAACCTCTCGGAGCCTCGTGGGAGCCTCGAGTTCTGAGATTGAGATTTTGGGGGGTTTCTTCGGGGCCTCCGGGGGCGCTCCGAAAGGTTAGTTGAAACGCGTCCCAGGCGAGGTGGGGGGGGTCGTCGTCGTGAGCGTCGCCGTCGTCGTCGTCGTCTCCTCTTCCTCCTCCCTCCTCCCTCCTCCCTCCTCCTCCTCCTCCTCCTCCTCCTCCTCTTTCCTCCTTATCCTTCTCCTTCTCCTTCTCCTTCTCCTCCTCCTCCGCCTCCGCCTCCGCCTCCGCCTCCGCCTCCTCCTCCGCCTCCGCTTCCTCCTCCTCCTCCTCCTCCTCTCCTCCCTCCCTCCTCCCTCCTCCTCCTCCTCCTCCTCCTCCTCCTCCTCCTCCTCCTCCTCCTCCTCCTCCTCCTCCTCCTCCTCCTCCCCCACCCTCATCCCTCCTCTTCGCGCCTCTGGATCACCACGAGGTGGTCCATCCTGACGCGCGGCGTTTCCCATGTCCCAAAGGGGGGTCTTGGTCACGTTGCACGTCCAAGTTCACGTATCAATGTTGATCACTGCTTGCGGAGAACAAAACATCCGTCGAGACGTTTTTCCAGATCGAGAGGAGGTCTGGCTGTCGGGGCGTACCTCAGGCCTCCGGCGGCCGTTCGGGACGATCCAGGCACCCCTCGGAACGTCCTCGACGAGGCGCAGCTGCCGGAAGGCACCCCGAAGTGCGAAAACCCACGAGAGCCAACGAGGGCGTCCAGAAACCCTTTGCGCGTGCGCCGGCGGCACAGCGGAAGGTCTGTCCTGGAACGACCCATCCTCCCTCCACCCTCGACCCTCGACCCCGCCCCCCCACTCACCGGCGAGGCGAGGGCGCTGCCTGCAGGTCCGCCTCTGCGCCCCCCGCCCCGTGGGCCAGCGCGCCTTGGCCGCAGCCAGCGGCCACGGAGGAGCCGCTGCCGTCAGAAGTTCGGTTAAGTCGGGCACGGGTTAAGTCGGGCACGGCCCTCTAATTACTGGAGGAATATTCAAAAATAGTCCCAGCAAAAAGTCTGGGGACGATCTCTTAATATATCTTTTTGATTACTACTTTGGGTGCATTTTTGAATATTTTCAATTCTTCACGCTTTGCGTATCCCCACCAGCCCTGATCCGCGGCCCCGCGCGCGCTCGGCAATTTAGTCGCGGCCGTAGCCCGCCCGCGACCTCCCGCCGCTGGCGCTTCCGCCTGCGGCTGTAAAAAGAAAAAGAATCCCCACCAGCCCATTCAGAAGCCCTGCCCATTAGAGCTGACGGGAAAGGGGACGAAGATACACATCGAGGGAGACAAAGCGAGCAACTAGGGTGAACCGAGAGATCTCTGGGAGCCGCGTGGGGGCGAGGGGAAGAGGAGGAGGAGGAGGAGGAGGAGAAGGAGGACGAGGAGGACGAGGAGGACGAGGACGCGGATGAGGACGAGGACGAGGAAGACGAGGACTAGGATGAGGATGACGCGGACGAGGACTCATGGAACCATCTAGATTGCGGCCGCTGCTGCTGCTGGTGCTCTCTGTGAGTTTGGGGGGGCCCTCTTGGAACCCTCTTTGTAACCCTGGAAGGCTTCTTGGGATCATCTTGGAGGCCATCGATTACAGGATGGAGGGTCCCCAACTCAGCTCCCCCCTCAGGAGCCGGCAAACCGCTTCTTGGGGCTCTCTTGGAGCGCTCTTGGGCGCTCTTTGAGCGGTCTTGGGGCCGTTTGGAGCATCTTGTGAGCCATCTTGAGCCAGCTTGGGCTATCTGAGCCATCTTGGAGGTCATCTTGGGCTCTCTGAGGCCGCTCGGGGGCCTCTTGGGGGCCTCTCGGGTGCCTCTGGGGGGCCCTCTTGGGACCCTCCTGGAGCCCTCTGGGGGCTCTCTTGGGCTCTCTTGGGAGCCCTGGAGCGCATCTTGGGGCCATCTTCGAGGCTATCGATCAAAGGAGCGAGGGTCCCGATCGGCTCCCCCCCTCGGGGTCCACGATCCTCGTGAGGGGTGTCAAAAATTAGCCTTCCCAGGGGCCGAAAAAAAGGCCCTCTGCCACCTCGCGAGATTCCCCGTCTAGGTCCAGGGGAGGGGGTAAGGGGGAGGGGTCAAGACTCCCTCCCCGCCTGCAAGCCGTTTCGCTCACTCCCAACCGCCCTCCCAACACATACGCAGCACCCGAGCCTGGCCCGAGCCGCAGCATATTCAGCAGTCGTCGTTGGATGGGCAACTACTGGGGGCGAATCCGCCGCCGCTTCCGCCGCCGCCGCCGCTGTCCGCCGCCGCCGCCGCCGCCGCGCCGCCCGCCGCCGCCGTCCGACGCCGCCGCCGCCGCGCCGCCCGCCGCCGCCGCGCCGCTGCCACCCCCGCTGCCGAATCGCCGCCGTTGCAGCCAGTGCCGCCGCAGCCGCTGCCGCCACCGCTGCCGCCGCCGCCGCCACCGCCGCCGCCGCCGCCCGCCGCCGCCGCCGCCACCGCCGCAGCCGCCGCAGCCGTTGCCCCCGCCGCAGCCGCCGCAGCCGCCGCCGCCGCCAAGTGTACTTTGTAGTGATTTTTTGACGGGGATGGTGGTGGGAGGCCGCATCGGGTTCGCTGCGCATGCTCCGAATTTGGAGGCATAGTGTGTTTTGCATGTTTGTTACATGGGGGGGGGGCCCGCGTTGACCCTGGTTGGCTCCCAGTCGCTTGGGGGACGGGGTGTATAAGAGTAGGGAACAGTGATAAAGACTCCCTCCCCGCTCGTAAACCGTCTCGTTCACTCCCGCCCGCCCTCCCAACACACACGCAGCACCCGAGCCTGGCCCGAGCCGCAGCATTTTCAGCAGTCGTCTTTGGATGGGCAACTACTGGGGGCAATCCGCCGCGCATCCGCCGCCGCCGCCCCCGCCGCCCCGCGCCGCCGCCGCGCCGCCGCCGCCGCTGTCCGCCGCCGCCGCCGCCACCGCGCCGCCCCGCCGCCGCCGCCGCCGCCGCCACACCCGTTGCCGAATCTCCGCCGCCGCAGCCGCTGCCGCCGCAGCCGCTGCCGCCACCGCTGCCGCCGCCGCCGCGGCCGCCACCGCCGCCGCCGCCGCCACCGCCGCTGCCGCCGCCGCAGCCGCCGCAGCCGTTGCCCCCGCCGCAGCCGCCGCCGCCGCCAAGTGTATTCTGCATGGTTTTTTGGCAGGGATGGTAGGGGGAGGCCGCATCGGGTTCGCTGCGCGTGCTCCGAATTTGGAGGCAGAGTGTGTATGTGTGTGTGTGTTTGTGTGTGTGTGTTTGTGTGTGTGTCTGTGAGTGTCTGTGTGTGTGTCTGTGTGTGTCTGTGTGTGTATCTGTGTGTGTGTGTGTGTCTGTGTGTGTCTGTGTGTGTGTGTCTGTGTGTGTGTGTGTGTGTGTCTGTGTGTGTGTGTGTCTGTGTGTGTGTCTGTGTGTGTGTGTCTGTGTGTGTGTCTGTGTGTGTGTGTCTGTGTGTGTGTCTGTGTGTGTGTGTGTGTCTGTGTGTGTCTGTGTGTGTGCCTGTGTGTGTGTCTGTGTGTGTGTCTGTGTGTGTGTCTGTGTCTGTCCTCTGTGTGTGTCTGTGTGT